AGAATGATTCAACGATCATTCGGCGTTGTCAGATGAGCAAAGTAGAGTGGATATCTTGGTTCCACTTGCGTCTGGCGCGGGACTCTCCAAATATATTTGCTTAAATTTGCGAGCTAACTCCTAGCCTTCATTACAACTATTCTGTGTAGTTCATAAAGAGCACTGAGCTCTCGACGAACTTGACGAAACTGTTAAAAGGGGAGCTTGGTAACGAAGTGGCGCACTTCCTAATGTCGCAATGTGGCAGTCGGGTAGTTCAGCATGGTCGAATGCATTTCATGCGGTATTTTACCTATCTTAGCCAGCAGTAAACTTGGCCTTCTCATGTTGGCGTTGACCATACAGCTCAAAACTTAAACACGACAGATAAGGTATCCCTGCCTAGTACCCCTTTTTATATTCATCCGTTTTGTCATATCTTCCCCTAGTTCTAACTAGCATTCCATGTTTTCAGAGTTTATTTCTTCTAAAATTCGGAAAGGTTTTTTTTGTAGTTTTTTTTTTTTTTTTATCCACAAAGTTCGGAGTTTATCGGAGTTTATATATGATGATTTCGGGATTCTCCGAAATTCGAAATACAGTTGTGCAGTGTGCCAATCTTTTTTTTTTTTTAAATTAAATATAAAACAAATTATTCGTACACAATCCTGCCCTAAACTCGAAGGAGCTAACTTGTATCGCATGATAGTTCTTCGACTGGATTTGGCATTCGCGTCCTTGCCATTACTAACACTGTCTGTCCCACAACAAAAAGGTAAAAACCAGTGCTGCTTTAATAAACGTTAATACTTTAAAAACACTGAAATTCTTGCCATCACCATTGGAAAGCGTCCCTTAATTCATCGAGTCAACATTCAAGTTTTTAATTTTGTTCCACAAATTTTTGTTTCTCTCATCGTAAATCAGTAAAGGAAAACAAGCCAGAAGGGCCTGTTTTCCTTTACTACGAATTTGATACAAAGTGTTTACCGCAGTATGTGGCATACTGTGGGTCGTGACCCCAAAAGAGGTTGCGACAGATTCAGCGGGAGTTCGAAAAAACAAACTTGACTTCTCTGCGGTGGCGTCCACAAAAACTAAGTACATATCGCAGCTCAACATCAATCTGCAACTGGGATTTGCGTTTTTCGGGCTATACCCTCGTTTTAAGGGACTGTTTTAACGAACAATCTCAGCGTAGTCATCATAAAACGCCATAACCGCCGGCATGCGTTTTTGTTTTTTTGTTGTTGTTTTTTCTTTTTTTTGGGGGGGGGGGGGGGGCGGGTGTAATTTATAGTGGCTGATTTATTCTGACTTTATCAATTGTCGAACTACAATTTAGCGTTATTTGGGGAATTAATACGCATGCACTGAAATTGAGGAGTTTGTCATTGCGATGCGGCCAGTTCCAGGGGGGGGGGGGGGGAGAGAAGGAGGGATTGCGACGCAATTATTGTTATATTTTAGATGGGTCAAGCTAGTATCCGAGTTTGGGAAGCACTGTGTTAACACAAATAAATAGGCTTACAACGTCGGTTGTTTTCTAAGTACGTACATCTTGTAGTTTGCCCAGTACAGCCTCTCACTTTCCCCATCTCTGCTACGTATCCTCTACCATCTGCTTCGCCCCCATTCTTCCGGAGCTTTTCGGTCCGTAATTATTTTATTTTCTGCCTCTCTGTCTCTTAATTTTAAGGTCTAACTTTGTTACCAGCATAATGCATAATTTCAACACCATCTGGCCATGTCTACGTGTCGCTAGAAACTCTTTGTTTTACATTTTTAATTATTTTTTTTTGTTCCATAGCACCGCTCTTATATCTAGATATATTCTTTATATGTACCTTTTCTCCTTAAACCGCTCTGTCATTTTTCGCTCGTACGTGCATTATTTTATCATCTCATCATACCTGATTATATTCTGAAGCGCTGCTTCAAATTCCTTTTATCAAAACAACTTTCCAGGCCATCTTGTGGCCAGATGAGTAGACACTGGTAGTAAACGTCAGGGTCGGTTCAACAGCCCCCCTCCATAACGATCAGTTCCCATCGATCCCGAAGAATGTGGCGTGTTTATGCGCCGTTTTCTTCCTTCCTCCTTCGGCGATTGAGCTGGCTCCCTTGCAGGCCAATCGACCCGCATGATCAACAAGAAAGCAACCATGGTCTCAGGTTACCCCCTAAACATGAAGAGCATACATAATAAGTGAATCGACTGATCACTCCGGTGCTTTACCGCGTCAGTTTTCACAAATTTATACCAAGGGAGCCTTTAATACTTTTATATAGGGATTGTCTCCTCAGCGTAGGAAACCCGTAACAATATAATCTATTTTTAAGGCGGGAAACCTTGAATATATTAAATGGACTTTTTGCTCCGTTTAGAGTATGAACATTTTGCTTGGTTTCTTAACAAAAGCAGCTCCGGCATTAGCTGTTTTGGCTGCACATTTGAACCATACGACCATACTTAGATGTGACCAAATCGCGGTATAGTTCACCAGATGTGTAAACCGATTTTCCAAATAAAACTGAATTCTCGTCGGATTTTGATCAGGTAGTTCGACCAAGGCCCAATAACCGATTCGGGGTACTACGATAGTAAATAAACTACGATTCAGCAAGGATGTCTTCAGGCAGCAAGTGCATTGAGATTGCAACAAGCTATGAGTCGTCAAATTGTTGAAGTTTTATTTAGCTCATCTTAAAACAGCGCGAATGTTACACGGGCGGTGGAAAGAAGTGGACGATACAAGCGCTAACTAACAACTGAGGGTTTATGCTGGATAAACCGCGAAAAAACGAACGGAAACACATGACTCTTTAACCTTGATGGAATGGCATGCCTGCGCATCCCAGAATAGTGTGCTATCAGTTAAACAATTCTATGGCCGATCTTCCCGGTGTAGCTGTTCTATCTCACTGTCCATCAATGCCAAGAAAGCCTGACTCACGCAGGTGGGGCTTTCCTTTTTTTTTTTTTTTTATTCTGTGAGCTTCTACGATCTCGCGAGTCTCTTGATCTCTATTTTTATACAACACGATGTCACTTTTTGTAAAGGTGTACATGCGCAGCCACGGCAGTACAATGGCCAGTGTGAGCCCGCGGTTGCTGTTAACGAACTACGGTGCTCCCGGAGGCGAATGTTGAGGCATCTCCCCGTTTGCCCGTTGTACACCTTCCCGCACGAGAAGGTTATCAAATATACGACGCCCTTTTTGCATGGTATGAACTCGATGTGGTGTTTCTTTGTGTTCGCGCGTTTTTCCACAGCGGAGCATATTCCGCTCACCATGTTACGTGCCGAAAACACAACGTCTAGCCCATATCTTGAGGCGGCTCTTTTAAAATCGTGCGACAAGCGGTGCATGTAAGGGATGACTGTCAGATACTTCTTTACTCTTTTCCGTAACTAGACCCCGCGCCTCCCCTTTCATACTTTTTGCTATTGTTTCCGCAGCCGAGGCGATTACCGACTCTGGGTAACCGGCGTCTCTTATACTCCGTTTCACCTTCAGTCCGAGCGCAATGGACGCCACGAGCCACCCCAGACGATCCAGCGCCGGGAGAAAGTCGCGTGACCTGCCGGTGGGGCGGGGCGACACAGAGAGCTCAAGGTCGCATGACACTCCCTCAACGCCGCATTGGCTGGGATGGCATCTAGCGTCCGCTGTGCTCGGACGGAAGGTGAAACGGAGTATAGTCTCCCTACCTGGGCGGAAAGGCTCCTTTCCACTCCGTGGAAGCAGGACTTTTTTTAACACCCAACGGATACATGACTCAGTACTACCTCTTATGACGAGCTTATAGTACCCAATCGAAAATCAAGGAGAGTTTTTGAGGTTCTGGGATGATTCCACCAACACACGTGGCTTTTGCTCACGTCTGCGCAGAGATTCAAAAACTGGATTGTATGGTTCTTAGGGTCTCAAATGTGAACCCCAAACCCAGACATTGCTCCCTGAACGCGTTGAGCACTAAATCAAGGGTCCAACTAAAGTCCCTTTTTTTTCCACGGAAACCAGATAATCGTTTACCTATTTGAATATCTTCTTTGTGAGCGCCTTCACCAAACTCTCTAGTGTCCTGTCAACCTTTGCAAGGAAGATATCCCACAAAACAGGTGCTACCCTAGTCCCTATGCATACCCCGAACGTCTGTACAAGCACCTTAGCGTGCCACCCTATAAAGGTAGACCTCAAATAAAACGACAACACTTCGAGAAAGATGTCGACAGAAATTTGTCGTTGAAACCTAAACACAATTTAATCATTGAAATTCTTAATGCACTCTTTTACGCTAAGCATGAATTCATCACGGCGCATTGAATAGTAGAGATATTCAACGTCAATACTGAACGCAGCACAGCCCCCCGGGTTGCTATCGGTAAGGTAGGCAGTAACGGCCATGGAACTAGAGATACTGAAAAAGTCCTCGACACGCAACGTGTCGAAGTGCTTCGTGAGATTCCCAGATTTAGTTTGCCAAAGAATACAGAGTGAATCTAAGGAATTTTTACAATGTAAAACTACCGCAGCATTCGGCGACTCACTGTAGGAAATTGAACTTTACCTCGATGGCGTAGTTTACTTCTCTACGAGTATTTTCTGTGCGGCATTTCTAGTACTACTAACTACCTGCTTCAGAAATAAAAAAACAAAAAAGTAATACGTTTTTTTTTATGAAAGGAAATTACCTGATAGGGACAGATTAAACATCGGTTATCTTGTGTTTTGACTTCAAGAACTAACACGGCTTGCATCGTTCCCAAGCATTTGAAAACTCCTAATTACTTGGCATCGGCAGTGATTTATCTGAATACACACATCGGAAGACAAACTATATCGATTTGCTCTTATTGGCTATTGTGTGCCATACAAAGGATGAGTTTATATATTTTATTTCGAGTGACACCAGCACGATGTCCACCAGCTGGAAAAAGTTATCTTTCTTTGACAACTCGCCCATCTCATCCGGTTCATTTTACGTGGTGAGCCCTTATTTGAGACGGGCTCACCTCTCTGGTAGCGTTCAGAACTGCAGATAGCGTGGACGGTGTCGATAGAATCTCCGACAGCGTTGTTGAACTTGGCCCTCTGGTCCTCGGTGGCGCAGTCCGTGACGTAGCGCCGGATGCAGTCCACGAACCGACTCCACATCCTGAAAGCCGCAATAACTCGAGATAGTTGCTTACTACTCCATCAAACATCAATTTCCATTGGAACCATACTACATTCGTTTTTTCCTCTGTCTACGGCCAAAGCTACGAGCTCTCAGCAACAATCTCGAGTTCTTAGCCCATACGTTACACTGATGGAGAAGATCCGTGCTCAAGCAGAGCCAAGTCCTGTAGCTTAGGGACATGAAATTAGTAAAGAAATGCCTTGGTCAGTGACTGCTCGTTATATGAATATCTTCACAAAATTTATATAAGCTTATTTTCTAAATTACTTTTTATGACGCGAGATTATTGCATTCTAAGCATTCTATTTTATGCGCATGTTTTAATTGATGGGAAAAAGTGTAACTCAGATCCCTATCGGAAGGTTACTCACACGAAAGTTTTCTCCTCGATCTTATTTACAAATTGAGCGCAAAAAGGCTCACAATGGTTTTGGCTTAAAAAATAGCGACGTCTCAAGTCTAATATTCACGAATCAATCTATTACCTCGAAAAGTAATCAAATTACCCGTAAGTATTATCTCATATTGACGGAGCACTATTATAAAACAATTACGAGATCATGTTCGAAAGAATTGATCGCGAGTAATCTAATTACGTTTAATGCGTGTGGTGCAAGTCTGACAGGTTGTTGCGAAAGAGCGCGGCTCACTTGCACATGTCGTCGACGTCCACGATGGTGGTTGGGAACATGTAGCGGAGATCGTTCAGGAACGGTTTCACCAGGTCCGTGCAATTGCGCAGCTTGGACTCGCAGCTGGTCGGTCCTCTGGCGTTGGCCAGAGCCGCCACTAAACCAAAACAACAGCAAAAAAAAAAGGGTATTTGACATTTTGAAAAGTTTCAACTGTATTTGATAATAAGGCCAAACAGCTGGATGGCACGCTGGCGCCATCTACGACGTGGCCCTGGAACTGCATTCAACTAGAGCGAAGGTTCTGCAGTATTTGAGGAATCAAATGTACGTAATATTATGAGAAATTGTTGTTTATAACATTTCCAAATGTTTTCTTTTCGAAATCATTAAAAACGAATAATGCGCGAAAAAAAAAAAAGAATAAAATATGTGAAAACCCCAAGTCGTTCCCCAACTGCCCGATAGATGGCGCCAGTTTGTTCTCCCCTCGGAACATTTACAAAGATAACAAGGTGATTATAACATGGGAAGGAAAGGCGACAGGGAAAATAGAGATAAGACGAGGCCTTAGGCAGGGGTGCCCGTTATCGCCTTTGCTGTTTATGTTGTATCTGAGAGGATTGGAGGATAGACTAGAGAAGAGTGGGCTTGGGTTCAACCTTTCTTACAGTAAGCTAGGCCAAAAAATTCAGCAATCCTTACCGGGATTGATGTATGCGGATGATATTGTACTAATGGCTAACAACAGGACAGAGTTGCAGGAATTAATGAGCATCTGTGGTAGGGAAGGAGAGGAATTAGGTTTAGAATTCAGTAGCGAAAAATCGGCAGTCATGATTTTTAACGAGGATGAAGTTGAGAGGCTGAAGATACAGAATATTACAGTTGAGAGAGCTAGTAAATACAAGTATCTAGGAGTATGGATATGCGATGGTGCAGAATATCTCAGAGACCATGAAAAGTATATAATAGGTAAGGGCAACAGAAATGCAGCTGTAATGAAAAATAGAGCACTTTGGAATTACAACAGGTATGAGGTGGTGAGAGAGATTTGGAAAGGGGTCATGGTGCCTGGCTTGACTTTTAGAAACGCAGTGCTATGCATGAAATCCGAAGTGCATGCGAGACTAGAAATAAAACAGCGCGGAGTAGGTAGACTGGCTTTGGGGGCACATTGCAAAACGCCAAACCAGGGAGTACAAGGAGACATGGGATGGGCATCGTTTGAGAGCAGGGAAGCGGTGAGCAAGGTAGAATTTGAGGATAGGTTGAGGCAAATGGACGGGGAGCAATGGGCACGAAAGGTTTTCAGCTATTTATACATGAGGAGTGTAGACACAAAGTGGAGACAGCGCACTAGGAAATTAAGAGGAAAGTTTTTGGGCTATAGCGAAGATACGGAAGAGCAAGTCTCAGTTAAGAAGAAAGTTAAGGCCACAGAAAGAGATTGGTGGCTAGAGGGAATGCAGACAAAGACGGCTCTGGTAAGCTATAGATTAAACAAAAGAGTTATTGCCAAAGAAAGCATTTATGATAATTCTAGGGGAAGCTCATTGCTGTTTGCGGCAAGAACGGGTGTTCTGCGAACCAGAACATACAGAGTGAAGTACCAGGAAATTGATACAGTGTGCACTGCTTGTGGAGAGGAGGAGGAGACGGCTGAGCACTTGATACTCTACTGTAAAGGGCTTCACCCTATGCCTACCGAAGACAACATAGATTTAATAAAGTCATTGGGTTTTAGAGACAGCGAAGGGAGAGTGGATTTCAAGACTGTAGAGATTACCAAGCAAAGATTAAGTGAATGGTGGCAGAAATCGAGAGAAAACTAGGTATTTTCTTCTCCACTGATGGCAAGGGGGTTTCATAGCCTCACCTTCTTTGCACTGCGGAGTGAATATAGATTTCACATTTAAATATTCTAAGCTTAAATGGTAAAACAAAATGGCTAGGTGGCGTAAGCTACCGCCCGATCCAAAGGGCTCAGCCGTATTCATCCATCCATCCATCTCGTAAAAGATCACAGGGCGCTCGGTCATAAGCAGTCGCAAAAAGTGTGAACCCGCCTTAAAAGGCCCCTAAAAAAACTTAACAGTTTGGTTGGACACGCGTGAAAAAAATTAAATTTACGCCATTTTTTTTTAGAGCCATATTGACGACGCGAGACGCGATCTAGTCGGTGGTCACCTCCTTTCCACTTGTTTCCTCTCTCGGCATTTCGGGCTTGTGGAGGAGGGGTGAGTTGGCTTCGCCTTCACGACCGAGATGGTCATTCCGGAATGACCCGTGACGTCATGGACTTCGCGCGCAGAATTTCAAATAAATCTCTCACCGCCAATATTGCTCTAAAAAATTGTTTTTTCGCGGAAAACTTATTTCTCGACACGTGTGTCCCAACCAAACCGTCTATAAAAAAACTTTTTTTTTTCTTTTTAGGGGTCCTTAAAGATTGGCATACAGCGAGGACTTACGCTGACTTCCAGCGGATATTTTGCAAAGTCAACAAAGCGCACGTTGTCAACCTTCTTGTCGACGTAAGAACCGTTTCTAACCCCCAATATATTAGGGTTGCCACCTGCCCAAATATTGACCGGCATGGTCGTTTTTTTGTGTTTTTTTTTTGTTTTTTTAAATAAAAGGGCCGGTTGCCGGCCTGTATCTAAACACGACTGTCATTTGCCCATTTCTTCCAACTACCCAAACGCAATTTTCTTTCTTTTTTTTTTTTGAAGAAAAAAGGGGGGGGGGGGTTTAAAATTATAGTCGAGTCTGGACCATCAACGTTATCAGGTATATAGGCATATGCATCGTCTATATTTAAGCTAATTTCGTATACAATGTTTTGGTCCCTGAAATTGTTTACTTAACCGCAAAAAAGACGTCACTTTCGTAAAAAGCCAGCGCGTTTACGATTCAGTGTAGCACGTAGAGCGCCATTGCAATTTACCGAAGGCTATCAAAGAATGGTGAGCAAGACTTTACTTCGAATTCGAGGACTCAATTTGTAATTCATGACTCGAGAGGTTTGAAAACATGCTCCTGTTACACGACTTTATGAGTGACCATAAACTTTAAGCTATAGGCTCGTGCCGGTGGTCGTGTTCTATAACCGCGTTCCCTACCAAAACTTCTAAACCAGCAATTTTTGAAAATAAATTTACGCTCGAAATCTGCTTGCATAGCAATTCTCGGTTTCCATCTGCTTCACAGGATGAGTGTGCGAGATTTGTTTCTGGGGCTTTCATTTTGAATATGCGGTATACGTCTATGCTTGTTATTAAGTTCAGTCTTGTGTATTTGTGTACTTACATGTGCTATGACGTATTAATAGATCTCTGTCAATGAATTTCATTTTCAAAAACTCGTTTCAACATACATTGAATCTCTGTTAAGATTGTTAACACTCCTTTTTTTATTTACCAGTTCAATCACGCATGCATACCTACACCCCCCTCCCCTCTTCCCCCCCCCCCCTCCCCCTCCCCGCCGTAATAGCCGATTTTTTCTTTGAGGAAAGGTGGGAACCCAAATTATATGTGAGTCCTGAATACGTAAATCATAAACTGTTCAAACGCCAATGTTCTACGTTCTATATATATATAAAAAAAGGGATATTACCGTTAACCTTTTTGTGCAAATTCAAAACATGATTATAGCAGAAGCTGGTTCAAAGTAGGCGGTACAAGACCTTCTAGGAAGCTTTCCGACAGTATTTCGCTGGATGGGGCTTAAGTTTCTTAGTGCAAAACCTCCGGCACGTGAAACGTCAGGCGCCTCATTTTCCGACGAAATTTCTTTTTTCTAACCTCGTCATTCGTCGGACCCCTTCCATAGATTGCAGTAACACGCCATGATCAAAATGCCATCAAGCAACATTGGCATACGCCATTTGTGCGCACAAATCGTGTGATTGGATACGTGTCCTCGCCGAACGTTGACGCTGCTCTCGTTCTCGACACGGGCTCAGCCGAGTTGACGTCGGATCCTGAGGAGTCGTCACGTCCAATAGATACTAAGAGCAAGCGTTTGCAGACAATGGCGTGCTCAGATAATTGGCTCAGCAGCTACAATACTCGTTGTCACATCAAGAACAAAAAGGAAGTTTTGTGAGTTACTCATGCACTGCGCGAAGTAGTTCTTACAATATTTGGTCCTTGAAAAAAAAAAAAAAAAAAACGATGCTTCTTGTTTTTGAAACGCGTACGTCTCGGTCGAATGACATAAATATATTATAAGATGCACCTACAGCGTGGGCGAAATGGATCGAACGCACTTTAAACTGACCGCATAAATCGATTTCTTTACTTATCGCGCTGGGATTTACTAGTGGGGTGCTTGGAGGTGGTGCATTCCTTATTGACAGTATGAATACATAAAAACTCCGGAGTCAAAGAAAGAAAATAAAAACTGGTTTTGTTTATAAAAAGTTTCTCGCTAAGCTTTTTTTTTTTTTTTTTTTTTTTCTCAAAATCATTATTAAAATGTTCTGGGCTTTTCTGGCGTTTATTACGACTAGAAAAATTGTGACATGAAACTCATATAGAATTGGCTTACCTAATCTTCACTTCATTTGACCCAAATAAGCGCCACAGGAACGCAAAGTATATTTTTAGTGTACATGCAAAAGATGGGGAAAACATGTTTTTATTTTTTATTATTTTTCGTGATTGACTTAGGTGAGCCAATCTTTCCACAGTTTTAGAGAAAGCTCTTAACACCTTACGGCAGCGCTGTAGTAAATCCCAGCGCGATAAGTGAAGAGGCCGATTTCTTCGGCCAGTTTAAATTGCGTTCAATTCATTTCGCCAACGATGTACATATACCTTCATTCAACACGTAAAGGGGAACATTAGTAACGTTCCGCGGGGAGCCGGACTTTTTTTTTTACTACGAGTATAGATGTCACGCTTAACAAGGGCAAGCAAGGTGACTCACTGGCCGCCGCCATGTTTCTGCTGGTGCAGTCAAGCCCGTGCAAACGGAAGCTTGCCAAAGCCATGTTCACGCGTAAGTTGCAGGTGCAATTTTCTATTGGCTGTTTGAGATTTCTGCGGAAAAGGCAGACATGCAAGCATTTCTTAAGACCGTACACTCTTAAAACAGTTTCTGCGCGTCTGTTCTGTCACGTGACGCACTGTAAGCACCAATGACCAG